TGATATCTTGCATGTTCCAGGGTGGGCAAACCAGACACTCTCCACAACAACACTGACAAAGAAACAGCAAGAAATACTGTTTACCCACAAGCAGAAAGGGATTACATATATTAGAAACCAACACTTTCTCATTACTTTATTTTCCAGATCACCAGACTGAGCCACAGCAACGCGTGGCAGGGGACAGCTAGTAGCTTATGTTTCTCCGTTCCTATAACATATCACTCTGAGTCTATTTCAGAAGCAAACGCTGGAGATGTCATAATGGGTTATGTAAGAAAACATTATGCTTTCCTCAAACAGCTTGAGACTGCTACCGCAGCAACAACAAACACGATGATATTGCACATATGAGGGTGAACAAATTGAAACTGAATCCAGACAAGACAGAGTCTTGGTCAGTCGTAAGGCCGAACAGGGGATAGGATTACAGCCTGTGTTGGATGGGGTTGCACTCCCCCTGAAGATGCAGGTTCGCAGCTTGGGAGTGATCCTGGACTCATCGCTGAGCCTGGAGCCCCAGGTTTTGGTGGTGGCTGGGAGAGCTTTTGCACAATTAAAACTTGTGTGCCAGCTGCGCCTGTACCTTGGGAAGTCTGACTTGGCCATGGTGGTCCACACTCTTGTTACATCCAAATAGACTACTGCAATGCACTCTACATGGGGCTGCCTTTGAAGACTGCCTAGAAGCTTCAACTAATCCAATGGTTGGCAGCCAGGTTGCTCACTGGAGCGGCGTACAGGGAGCACACAACCCTTCTGTTGCGCCAGCTTCACTGGCTGCTGATCAGTTTCTGATCACAATTCAAAGTGCTGGTTTAAACCTTTAAAGCCCTAAACGGTTCTGGCCCAGACTACCTGTCCGAACATATCTCCTGTTATTGTTAGGGATTCCTCATCTTCAGAGGAGGAAAGGGAGCAGGGAAGTGCTCAGGAATTGGAGGGAGAAGAAGAGTCAGGTGATGAGGCTTTGCAAGTGCCTACATTTTTAGAGAGACAAAGGAAAACAGAGCACAGATGCCGTTCAGCTCGAATAGCTGCTAAAAACACTGAGCTAATTAGGAGACACCCTAGCGCCTCCTGCGTGGGATATAAATCAGAGGCAGGAGCAGTCAGCTTTCGCTGGTAACAACAACTCTGTTGCTGACTGAACCTGCTTTGTGTCTGCTGCTAAGGACTTTGTGATCTTTGCCCATTGTCTACTGTTTCTTTTGGGACTTTTGTAAGATACTTTAATTTGTGTCTGCATTAAGACTTCCTTGGTTTTTTTTTCCAATTGCATTTGCTTATCCATTCTGTTTGCTGAAGTACAGCATTTTTCTTTTATTTTTTAACCTTATATTAAGGCTGTGTTTTGAAGAGCAAAACAGGACAGTTATAAACCATCACGAAATTTAAGATCATCTGGAGAGGCCCTGCTCTCAGTCCCACCACCACCACAAACACGACTGGTGGGGACGAGGGACAGGGCCTTCTCAGCAGTGGCCTCGCGTCTGGTGAATTCCCTCCCCAGGGGCATCAGACTAACCACCTCTCTCCTGTCCTTTAGAAGGAAACGCAGATGGCGGACATCACCACTTTGAAGCAGCAACATCATAGAATCATAAAACTGGAAGAGACCTCATGGGTCATCTAGTCCAACCCCATGCCATGCAGGAAAAGCACAATCAAAGCACCCCAGATAGATGGCCATCCAGCCGCTGTTTAAAAGCCTCCAAGGAAGGAGCTTCCACCAGACTCCAAGGCAGTGAGTTCTACTGTTGAGCATCTCTTCTTACGATCAGAAAATTCTTCCTAATGAAGTTCAAGTGGGATCTCCTGTCCTATAATTTGAACCCATTGCTCTATGTTCTAGTTTCCAGGGAAGAAGAAACATAGCATCATATAGTTGGAAGGGACTACATAAATCATCCATTCCAATCCTGTTCTGCTATGCAGGAAAAGCACAAGCAAAGCACCCCTGAAGGAGCCTTCCCCTGGCTCCAAGGCAGAGAGTTCCACATGCACCCCCCACAGCAATTAAAATGACACCAAACTGCACTTGTGACACCACGTATATGCATGAACCCACATGACAATTAAAGTGGCACCACACTGCACTTGTAGCACATTGTATATGCACTCCGTGACAATAAAAGTGTTGCCAAACTGCACTTGTGACACAACGTATATGAATGCACCCCCATGACAATTAAAGGGGTGCCAGACTGCACTTGTGACACAATGTATATGCACCCCCATGACAATTAAAGTGGCAACAATCTGCACTTGTGAAACAATGTATGTGCATTCCCATGTCAATCAAAGTGGCACCAAACTGCACTTGTGACACAATGTATATGCACCCCCTTAATATATAATACTACTACTACTGATGATGATGATGATAATCTATAGCAAAGACTCTGGCACAAGCCAGTGAAGGTGGTCCCAGTGGTGATTGGCACACTGGGTGCAGTGCCTAAAGACCTTGGCCTGCACTTAAACACAATTGGCACTGACAAAATTACCACCTGCCAGCTGTAGAAGGCCACCTTACTGGGATCTGCACGCATTATTCACTGATACATCACACAGTCCTAGACACTTGTCAAGTGTTCGACGTGTGATCCAATTTAACAGCCAGCAGAGTGATCTTGTTTGCTGTGGACTCATCTTGTTGTGTTTCAAATAATAATAATCATCGAACTGCAAAGACTCTGGCACAAGCCAGTAAAGGGGGTCCCAGTGGTGATTAGCACACTGGGTGCAGTGCCTAAAGACCTTGGCCTGCACTTAAACACATTCGGCGCTGACAAAATCACCACCTTTCAGCTGCAGAAGGCCACCTTATTGGGATCTGCATGCATTATTTGCCGGTACATCACACAGTCCTGGACACTTGGGAAGTGTCTGATGTGTGATCCAATACAACAGCCAGCAGAGTGACCTTGTTTACTGTGGACTCATCTTCTTGTGTTTCAAATAATAACAGCTTTATTTTATCCATCCTCACCTCCTAAGTCAATAAAAAAAGACTCTGGGCAGGCATGTAGCCGGGGGGGGGGGGGGGGGGGGGCTTCACCCCCCCTCCTGAAATTCTCATGGTGGTTCGCGAAAAGGCCTTACTGGGCATTATTTAAACTGTTATGTTTATTCATATCATGATCTGATCACCATACTCAATATATCCCATATGCATGGGGGTATTGGGGTAATGATACAAAAGGTTTGCTAGGCTAGACCCTCTTTCACTCAGACTCAGCCACCCCCCCCCCGAAACTCAGCCCCCCCCCCCGAAAAAAACCAGGCACGTAGCCAGGATTTCGTTTGGGGGGGGCTGAATTTTTTTTCAGGGGGGGTTTCGGGGGGGCTGAGTTTCGGGGGGGGGCTGAGTCTGAGTGAAAGAGGGTCTACCCTAGCAAACCTTTTGTATCGTTACCCCAATACCCCCATGCATATGGGATATATTGAGTATGGTGATCAGATCATGATATGAATAAACATAACAGTTGAAATAATGCACCAGTAAGGCCTTCTCGCGGACCACCATGAGAATTTCAGGGGGGGGCTGAAGCCCCTCAAGCCCCCCCCCCCCCCCCCGCTACATGCCTGGGCCTGAATGGGTAAAACAAAACAAGTGACCTTAGCTTCTCAGAGGCCAACATGCCAACACAAAATAAATTAAGTGAAACAAGAAGGAAATGCTCAGATATCAGAATTCCACTGCCTCCTTTACGTCCTCCAAATTATTAAGTGCCGTGTCAAACATAACTGAAGGCCTGTTTAAAAAGCCACGTCTTCCATTCCTTCTGGAAGGTTAAAGTTGTGGGGCAGGCCCATAGCCAGGATTTCGTTTTTTTTTTGGGGGGGGGGAAGGCTAAAAAAATTTCAGGGGGGATTCAGGGGGGCTGAGTTTCGGGGGGGGGTGCTGAGTCTGAGTGAAAGAGGTTCTAGCCTAGCAAACCTTTTGTATCATTACCCCAATACCCCCATGCATATGGGATATATTGAGTATGGTGATCAGATCATGATATGAATAAACATAACAGTTTAAATAATGCACCAGTAAGGCTTTTCGCGAACCACATGAGAATTTCGGGGGGCGGGCGGGGGGGCCCAAGCCCCCCCCCGGCTACATTGCCTGATTCACACCTAGCTCCAGCAGACAAGAGTCCTTTATCCCACCCTGGTCATTCCACAGATATATAAACCCTTTCTTAGTTCCAACAGACCTCACTACCTCTGAGGATGCTTGCCATAGATGCAGGTGAAACGTCAGGTGAGAATGCCTCTAGACCATGGCCATATAGCCAGGCATGTAGCCGGGGGGGGGGGGGGGCTTGAGGGGCTTCATGGTGGTTCGCGAAAAGGCCTTACTGGTGCATTATTTAAACTGTTATATTTATTCATATCATGATCTGATCACCATACTCAATATATCCCATATGTATGGGGGTATTGGGGTAATGATACAAAAGTTCTTGTGGGTTTTTTCGGGCTATATGGCCATGTTCTAGAGGCATTTCTCCTGACGTTTCGCCTGCATCTATGGCAAGCTCCCTCAGAGCATCCTCACCTCACTACCTCTGAGGATGCTTGCCATAGATGCAGGCGAAACGTCAGGAGAGAATGCCTCTAGAACATGGCCCTATAGCCCGAAAAAACCCACAAGAACCTAGTGATTCCAGCCATGAAAGCCTTCGACAATACAATGATAGAATTCACACTTGCCTCAAGTAGACGAGTGCTCTCTCTCCCACCCTGAACATTCCACAGATAAAAAACTCAGCCCCTCCCCCCCCCCGAATCGAAATCCTGGCTACGGGCCTGCATACAGCCCGAAAAAACCTACAACAACCCAGTGATTCCGGCCATGAAAGCCTTCGACAACACAGAGCGGAAGAGCTGCCAAACCCGCCCGAGCCTGTAGAGGTCAGTGTTGCGCAAGGGAAGAAACAGAGCGAGTGCGCTTGCAATTCGCGTGGTTGGCCGCTTGGTGCCGCTGCGGCTGGGCTTACCTGATCCTTGCTGCCGGAGGATGGCGGCTTTCCCGGGGGGAGGCGAGGCCGACGAGGCTGCGGCGGCGGCGGCGGAGATTGTGGTCGTGCTGGAGGAGGAGGAAGACGACGAAGAGGAGGAAGAGGAGGAGGAGGATGAAGACAAGGAGGAGGAGGAGGAGGAGGAGGAGGCTGCGGCTTCTCCCTGGGCGGGCAAGAGGCGCTTGTCTCCGAGGCCGGGGGCGGCGGTGGCGTCTCGGGAGGGCGAGGAGGAGGCGCTGCTGCTGCTGCTGCTGCTGCTCCCGGAGCCCGCTCCTCCCCCTGCTCCTCCCCCGGCGGCGCTGCTCCTGCGGGGCCCGCTGCTCTGGATGTGGGAGACGGCCTCGGCGGCCTGGACGTCTGGCGGGGCGAATCGGGGCAGGACGCGGAGCAGGGCTTGGGCGCGGTGCTCGTGCGTGTCCTCGCCGCCGAAGTCCGAGACGCGGCACTCGTACACGCCCGCGTCCTGCCGCCGCAGACCCGACAGGCGCAGCCGGTGCGAGATGTCGTTGCCCTGCACACGCACCGTCTGGAGAAAGGGGCAAGGAGGGAAGGGAGGGAGGAAGAGAGGAAGAGAGGAGAAAGAGCGCTTAGGCAGGGACACCCCTCCCTCCGTCCCTCCCCCCCTCCCTCTCTCTTTCGACAGCACCCCGCTTTGGGAGACTCCTCTCTTTCTTTTGAAGCACTTTTCTCTCTTTCTTTGTTTTGGAGTACTTCTCTCTCTCTTTTGGGGCACTTTTCTTTCTCTTTCATTTCTCTCCTTCTTTTGCAGCATCTTTCTCTAGCTTTCTCTCTTCTAGGACACATTTTTCGTTCTTTCCATCCATCTTTGTTTTGGGACCCTTCTCTCTCTCTTTTGGGGCACTTTTCTTTCTCTTTCATTCTTTTGGGACACGTCTCTCTCTTTCTCTCCTTCTTTTGCAGCATCTTTCTCTAGCTTTCTCTCTTCTAGGACACATTTTTCGTTCTTTCCATCCATCTTTGTTTTGGGACCCTTCTCTCTCTCTTTTGGGGCACTTTTCTCTATCTTTCTCTCTTTCTTTTGGGACATTTCGCCCTTTCTTTGTTTTGGAACACTTCTCTCTCTCTTTGGCAGCATTTTTCTTTCTCCTTCATTTTTTTGGGACACGTCTCTTTCTCTCCCTCTTTTGGAGCCCCTTTCTCTAGCTTTCTCTCTTTCTTTTAGGACACTTATTTCTTTCTTTCCATCTTTCTTTTGGGACCCTTCTCTCTCTCTTTTGGGGCACTTTTCTCTATCTTTCTCTCTTTTAAGACACTTCTTTCCATCTTTCTTTTGAGACACCTCTCTCTTTTAGGACACTGCCTTCTTTCTTTCTTTCTTTCTTTCTTTCTTTCTTTTGGGACCCTTCTCTCTCTCGTTTGGGACACCTTTCTCTATCTTTCTCTCTTTCTTCAGGAACACTTTCTTTCTTTCTTTCCGTCTTTGTTTTGGGACACTTCCCTCTCTCTTTTGGAACACTTTACTCTTTCTTTTGGGACATTCTCTCTCTTTTTCTCTTTCTTTTGGGACATTCTCTCTTTCTCTTTCTTTTGGGACATTCTCTCTCTTTTTCTCTTTCTTTTGGGACATTCTCTCTCTTTTTCTCTTTCTTTTGGGACCACTTCTTTCTCTCTTTCTGACTTTTTTTCGGACACTTCTCTCTCTCTTTTGGGGCACTTATCTCTATCTTTCACTCTCTCTTTTAGGACACTTCTTTCATCCTTTCTTTTTTTCTTCTGGAACACTTATCTCTCTTTTGGTGCACTTTTCTCTATCTTTCTTTCTTTTGGGACCACTTCTTTCTTTCCGTCTTTGTTTTGGGGCACTTCTCTCTCTCTTTTGGAACACTTTTCTCTTTCTTTCTTTTGGGACATTCTCTATCTTTCTTTCTTTTGGGACATTCTCTATCTTTCTTTCTTTTGGGACCATTTTTTCTTACTTTCTTTCTGTCTTTCTTTTGGGACACTTCTCTCTCTCTTTTGGGGCACTTTTCTCTATCTTTCTCTCTCTCTCTTTTAGGACACTGCCTTCTTTCTTTCCTTCTTTCTTTCTTTTGGGACCCTTCTCTCTCTTTTTTGGGACACCTTTCTCTCTTTCTTCAGGAACACTTTTTTCTTTCTTTGTGTCTTTCTTTCGAGACCCTTCTCTCTTTCTTTTGGGGCACTTTTCTCTATCTTTCATTCTTTTGGGAGACGTCTCTTTCTTTCTCTCCCTCTTTTGGAGCACCTTTATCCACCTTTTTCTCTTTCTTTTAGGACACTTCTTTCTTTGTGTCTTTGCTTTGGGACACCTCTCTTTTTTGGAGCACTTTTCTCTATCTTTATCTCTTTCTTTTGGGACTCTTACTTTCTTTCTTGACCTCTCTCTCTTTTGGGGCACTTTTCTCTATTGTTCTTGCTTTCTTTTAGGACTCTGCTTTCTTTGTGTCTTTCTTTCTTTTGGGACCCTTCTTGCTCTCTTTTGGGACTCTTTTTTATTTATTTACTATATTTATTTATTTATTTATTTATTTACTAACCGCGACTCGGTGCAGTTTAGAATTGGTGCCAAGACCATAAATACAATTTCAATACAATAAAAACAATCGGATAATAAAACCATAACAAAATCAATAAAAACATGAACATTAGGGTCTCCTGTTAAAAACATTGTCCCATCACCTCGTCCAACCATTCCATTTTCCTATGTCTGTTACACTGTATTTGGAAATGCCTGCTCAAAGAGCCAAGTTTTGACTCTCTTTCGAAATGTTAGAAGGGAGGAGGCCGATCTGATATCCTTAGGGAGGGCATTCCATAGCCAAGGGGCCACCACTGAGAAGGCCCTGTCTCTTGTTCCCGCCAGACGTACTTGTGACGAAGGCGGGACCGAGAGCAGGGTCTCCCCAGATGATCTTCTCTATCTTTCTCTCTTTCTTTTGGAACCATTTCTTTCTTTCTTTCTTTCTTTCTTTCTTTCTTTCTTTCTTTCCATCTTTGTTTTGGGGCACTTCTCTCTCTCTCTTGGGGCACTTTTCTTGTATCTTTCCTTCTTTTGGGACATGTCTCTCTCCCTCTTTTGGAGAACTTTTCTCTATCTTTCTACTCTTTCTTCTGGGACACTTCTTTCTTTCTTTCCGTCTTTGTTTTGGGGCACTTCTCTCTCTCTTTTTTCTCTATCTTTCATTCTTTTGGGACATGTCTCTCTCTTTCTCTCCTGCTTTGGAGAACTTTTCTCTATCTTTCTCTCTTTCTCTCTTTCTTCTGGGACACTTCTTTCTTTCTTTCCGTCTTTCTTTTGGGACACCTCTCTCTGTAGCACTTTTCTCTTTCTTTTTATTTTTAGGACGCCATTCTTTCACTTTTGGACCACTTTTCTCTTTCTTTTGGGACACTTGTCTCAACAGAAAATACTGGAAGGGTTTGATGGGCATTGACCTTGAGCTTTGGAGTTGTAGTTCACCTATATCCAGAGGACACTGTGGACTTGAACAATGATGGATCCGGACCAAACTTGGCACAAATACTCAATTTTGCCCAGATGTGAACACTGGTGGAGTTGGGGGAAAACAGACCTTGACAGTTGGGAGTTATAGTTTCTAGTATTTGTAGTTCACTTACAATCAAAGAGCATGCTGAACCCCACCAACCTTCCCACACAGAAGCCCCATGACTAGCATAAAATACTTTGTTTTCTGATGATCTTTGGCGGCCCCTCTGACATCCCCTCGCGACCCCCCAGGACCAGAACATTGTAATGGTCCTCCTTCCATCAAGTATCACAGAGTTGGAAGACAACACATCTCGTCCAACTTCATTTAGGAATATACACTCAAAGCACTCCTGATAGATGGCCATCCAGGCTCTATTTAAAAACCTCCAGAGAAGGCAATGACTACACTCAGAGGCAGCATATCCCACAATTGGATAACTCTTAACATTATGATTTTGTTCATTGGCATCCTGCTTTTCTCCCAGCAACATAATGTAATAAAATTGGAAAAAACTTTCTGTTCCTGCTTTGAAAGTGTTATTTCCGGTTTAATAGTGTGGTACTTACTTTGAAAATCATTGTTATAATCCAAAAACTTTGTTTTTGTAGCTGCCACACACTAGGTTGAATTGGTTGAGACCCAATGAGGGACTCATGGAAAAAACAGAGCAAAATATGCTGCAGGTTTTCCCACCAAAACAATGTTTTTGCTGGTTAATAAAGTTTTTTTTGATGGCTTGCTGTGAGTTTTCCAGGCAGTATAGTCGTGTTCCAGAAGCATTCTCTCCTGACATTTCGCCCACATCTATGGCAGGCATCCTCAGAGGTTGCGAGTTTTGTTGAAAACAAGGCAAGTGGGGTTTATATATCTGTCGCATTATCACGGGATGTCTGCGCCCTACACCACTGGAGAAACTACACTGTCTAGCCGGTATTGCACCACCTGACATCTGCCAGGAAGTAGCAACCAATAGTGAAAGGACCAAGGCAGTGACATCTCTGGCCCACCCCCTGTTTGGGTATCAGCCAGCACGTCAATGACTTAAATCAAGAAATAGTTTTCTAGGATCTACAGAGACACTCGCTGGAACACCTCAGCAAGCGAGAGTCCAAAAGTGGCAGGCTCAAACCCAGAACCTCAATCCATGGCTGATACCAAATGAGAGACTCCCCCCTGGGCACACAGAAGACTGGGCGACTTGGAAGGCACTGAACAGACTGCGCTTTGGCACCACGAGATGCAGAGCCAACCTTCAGAAATGGGGCCACAAAGTGGAATCCACGACATGCGAGTGGGGAGAGGAGCAAACCACTGACCACCTGCTGCAATGCAACCTGAGCCCTGCCACATGCACAATGGAGGACCTTCTTGCGGCAACACCAGAGGCACTCCAAGGGGCCAGATAGTGGTCAAAGGACATTTAATCAACTACCAATTTTGCAAAACTTGTCTTTTGTCTGTTTTGTTTGTTTTTTGTTCTGTTAGAAATGTAATACAATGGTCTGGTTGCCCCTGACACGATAAATAAAGCACAGGAGGATTTCCTTTTGAAAATGGTGTGCTCTATTATCCAACCTATGTTTGCAATGTGATCTCTGGTGCCTCTCCCTTTCCCGAACGCAGTTTGGACACCTGGCATTTCTGACTCTGTATATAGTAAACATCGTCGTTGAAGAAGGTTGAGGATCATTTTGTTTGAATGGGAAATTAATGCAACAGTCCTGTGGGTACTACAATCCCTAGTATCCCCTGTCTTGAGGACTGGAAAGAATATTGAGCCTTTCAAATCTGTTTCGTACCTGCTAAAATTAGCTAAAGACCATAGGCAATTAATCCAACTAGAGCAGGTACTTCTAATTTCAAAGACTGAAGGCAAAGTAAAATAATATAATTTGTGAGTCTACTGAAGACTCAGAGGAAATCGTGCCAGACTGACTTCCCTTGGGGAAAAAAAGTCCATAACCAGGACATTACAACAGAGAAAGTCCTGTAATACGAGGACTGAATGAAAAGTAATGCCTCCACCTTCGTAACTCCTCAACAGATGGCAGTACTG